ATGTGTGTGTGTGTGTGTGTGTGTGAGTGTGGGATACCTGTGTGTGTGTATGTGTGCCTGTGTGTATGTGTGTATGTGTGTGTGTGATACCTGTGTGTGTGTATGTGTGTATGTGTGTATGTGTGTGTGTGTGCGTGTGATACCTGTGTGTGTGTGTATACCTGTGTGTGTGTGTGTGTGATACCTGTGTGTGTGTATGTGTGTATACCTGTGTGTGTGAGTGTGGGATACCTGTGTGTGTGTATGTGTGTGTGTGATACCTGTGTGTGTGTGAGTGTGGGATACCTGTGTGTGTGTGTGTGCCTCTGTGTAGTGTGTTGTATCTGTGTGTGTGTGTGTGTGTGTGTGCTGTGTGTGTGTGTGTGTCTCTGTGTATGTGTGTATGTGTGTGTGTGTGTGTGATACCTGTGTGTGTGTGTGCGTATGTGTGTATGTGTGTGTGTGTACGTGTGATACCTGTGTGTGTGTGTATACCTGTGTGTGTGAGTGTGGGATACCTGTGTGTGTGTGTGTGTGTGTGTGAGTGTGGGAGACCTGTGTGTGTGTGTGTGTGTGTACGTGTGATACCTGTGTGTGTGTGTATGCCTGTGTGTGTGAGTGTGGGATACCTGTGTGTGTGTGTGTGTGTGTGTGAGTGTGGGAGACCTGTGTGTGTGTGTGTGTGTGTACGTGTGATACCTGTGTGTGTGTGTATGCCTGTGTGTGTGAGTGTGGGATACCTGTGTGTGTGTGTGTGTGTGTGTGAGTGTGGGAGACCTGTGTGTGTGTGTGTGTGTGTACGTGTGATACCTGTGTGTGTGTGTATGCCTGTGTGTGTGAGTGTGGGATACCTGTGTGTGTGTGTGTGTGTGTGTGAGTGTGGGAGACCTGTGTGTGTGTGTGTGTGTGTACGTGTGATACCTGTGTGTGTGTGTATGCCTGTGTGTGTGAGTGTGGGATACCTGTGTGTGTGTGTGTGTGTGTGTGAGTGTGGGAGACCTGTGTGTGTGTGTGTGTGTGTACGTGTGATACCTGTGTGTGTGTGTATGCCTGTGTGTGTGAGTGTGGGATACCTGTGTGTGTGTGTGTGTGTGTGTGTATACCTGTGTGTGTGAGTGTAGGTTGTGTGTGTGTGTGCGTGTGTGTGTGGGCGTGTGCGCGCACGCATG